GAATGAGGTTGGAATATTAATAGGTATTGCATTGGATTTGTAGATAGCCTTGGGATTATTGCCATTTTCATGATATTAATTATTCCAATCCAGGAGAATGGGAGGTTTTTCCACTTCTAAGTTCTGCCTTGATTTCCTTTTTCAGGTTTTTGAGGTTTTCATCTTGGAGGTCCCTCACTTCTTTAGTTAACTCCTAAGTATTTTATATTTGTGGGACTATTACAAAAAGTGTTGCTTTTCTAATATCAGCTGAGCTCTTCTCATTGTTGGCCTATAGATGAGAAATAATAGAAATGTCAGGGGATGGACTCATGGCCTCTTTGGAAGACCATTCTATTTGATACTAAGAGTTTAATATGTATTCAGCATTGTAGACAAAATTGACAAAAATATTTTGTATGACACACTGGATTCTAAATACTGCTCATGATTTCAGGAAGTGTTCCTTGGAGCCCTCATCTGTGATGCAAGCCCTGTAGAAGACAAAGGATGACAGAGAGAAACAATGTCACAGAATTTGTCCTCTTGGGCCTCACTCAAGATCCCAAACTGCAAAAAGCCTTATTCGTCCTGTTTTCACTCATCTACATTGTGACAATGGTGGGCAACCTGCTCATCATGGTGACCATTATTGCCAGTCCCTCCTTAGGGTCCCCAATGTACTTCTTCCTTGCTTGTCTGTCACTTATGGATGCTGTGTATTCCACGGCCATCTCACCCAAGATGATTGTGGATTTACTCTATGCTGAAAAGACCATTTCCTTCCAAGGTTGCATGGGTCAGCTCTTTATACAGCACTTATTTGGGGGTGCTGAGGTCTTCCTTCTGGTAATGATGGCCTATGATCGCTATGTGGCCATCTGTAAGCCATTGCATTATGTGACCATCATGAATCGGAAGGTTTGCTTTATCCTGTTGATGGTGGCCTGTACTGGAGGTTTTGGACACTCTATTGTTAAAATAGTCTTTGTGTACAGTCTTCCTTTCTGCGGTCCCAATGTCATCGACCACTTCATCTGTGACATGTACCCACTGTTGGAACTTGCGTGCACTGACACCTATGTCATAGGCCTCACAGTGGTTGCCAATGGAGGCGCCATCTGTGTGGTCATTTTCACTCTTCTCCTCATCTCCTATGGAGTCATCTTATCATCTCTGAAGAATCACAGTCAGGAGGGGAGGCGCAAAGCCCTGTCCACCTGCAGCTCCCACATCATGGTGGTGGTGCTCTTTTTTGTTCCTTGTATTTTCATCTATGTGCGACCTGTCTCCAACTTTCCCATCGACAAGTCCCTCAGTGTCGTGTTTATGATCATCACTCCTGTGCTGAACCCTTTGATATACACCTTGAGAAATTCAGAGATGAAAAATGCTATGAACAAACTCTGGTGTAGACAGTTAACCACGGGTTGAGGAAGCATGCATCTCCCATGGCGAAGAGGCTTGTTCTTAATTCAGAAACATCAGACAGACAGTGAATTCTTACAAAAGGTTATTCAACTGAATGCATTCTCTAGATCTGGTTCTTTTCACTGAAAAAAAACCACTTAACAATATCTTTTGAGATTAGAATACATTTTACATGAAATTAAGGAAGCCAAATGAGAGATAGCAATATTTCCCCTATAACAGGTAGAAAAGTCCAGCTAGCATCACCTTGAAGCTTTCTATCTTTCCACTTACTGTAAGAGAGAGGGGAGAGGACCCGGAGTTCAAAGCCTCCTTGTAGTGCTTGGTGAGATGCAGTCTCCAACTACAAGACAAAGGAAAGTGAAACAACACAGAGCAAAATAAAATGAGATATTACCAGTGTAGGTGTTTTTTTAATGTTGGAAATAATTGATGATGAAAAGAAATTCTGGTTGATTTTTCCCCTCTTCTTTGGCTATAGGTTTGAACTTGTGGCATCATGCTTGCTAGGCAGGCACTCTACTACTTGATCCATACCTCCATCCATGCTTTTTATTTGGAGATTATTATCTGTTGTTATTAGTACTTGAAAGAAGGGCTGCTTGTTTGATTGACAAGTGTATGTCACAAAGTGAGTCACATTTCCTGGTCCGGTTTTTATTGTGTAATCTAGCATTTTTATTTCTGTGTTAATTGAAATGAAATAAAACAGGACTTTAGATATATGCACATTTGGGTTCAATATTACATTATTTAGGATAACCACTACAATAATATGATGAAGTGTCTGGCACTGTATGAATGGGTAAAGCATGTATACAATGGAATATTATTTAGCTTTGTATGAGAAAAATATTCTATATGGATCTGGAAGGCATTATAATAATTGTATGCCAGTTGTCGAAGTAGGCATTGTCTTACTTATATACCACATAAAATAGTCAAACTCATGGAAACAGAGAACAAAAGGTTTTTGGCAATGACTGGAGAGTTATAAAGTTTCAATACAAAAGATAAATGATTTCTGCATTGATATGACAACATTCAAGCTACAGGTAAGAATGTATTATGTATTTAAAATTTAGTAGAAATAGCTTCAGCGTTCTTAAACACAAAAGCAAATCAAAGAAAACAGTTTTTGCCCAAGGTGATAGTTTTATTAGTTTAATTATGGTAATCATTTTGCAATGTCACTTATGAAAACCAAATTGATTATATATCAATTGTGCACCTACAGAGCTGGAAAAGTATAACATAGAAATGATACTATTGTCCTCTACTGCATCATGCAGTTTAAAATTTCTTTGTAGCTGCTTTTACATGTAGAATATATTTCAGTGGAGTTTAAAAGTTAGATTCTTGTGTTTCAAATTTATGTAGATTGCTTTTTTTTGTTGGTCATGGGGCCTGAATTCTGGGCCTGGGCACTGTTCCTCAGCTCTTCAGCTCAAGGCTAGCACCTTACCACTTGAGCCACAGCACCACTTCTGGCTTTTTTTTGCTTATGTGGTGCTAAAGAATGAAGCCAGGGTGCTGGGTGCTGCAAAGCAAGCACTTTACCACTGAGCCACCTTCCCAGCCCCTAGATTGCTTCTTAATTTATAATAATTAGTTGTATTTTGGTATCAATTTCTGGTTGAGTTCCTTAATACTTGATATGTTTTATTTATGAATTGAATATTTTGGAACAGCATAAAAATGTGTGTTATTGTATTGTGTGTTAGTTACTGTTTTAGAATGTTAAAATGTGAATAATAATTTCTCATATGTTTTTCTCTTTTCCTATTTGAGTACTAATTTACCAATTGCCTGCTTGAAGCTATGTGAGAAGCAGCAACACTTTTCTTAAGGGAAATCTTGCTTTAACTATATTTGAATCAAGTTTTTAATGACTTGTTCTGAAGTCAGTTTTTCCCATACTCTGGTTGTCAATTTAGATGTCAGCTGAGAAGTTTCAGATGGAGTAGCTCACTCATCATGTTTACTTGTGTTGTGGTCATGATTTTTACCAAGAGGGTTTTTATGTTTAATTTTTTTCCTGGACTGGACTTCCCAATGTTGATGATTTGACCTCAAGTTTCCCACTCATCATAGTTCCTCAAGGGTTTTCTTTTATATCTAGTCATTCTTGTGCAATCTCTGGAGAAGTGTAGTCTACCCTCAGAATTATGATTAAGGTCCCAATGAATTTAATTAAGGAGTTAGTGATGCAACATCCAATGATTCGAGCATATGTGCCAAAGTTCAAATACAGATGAGATGTTTACAGACTTTTTGCCTTTACCTCAGAGCATGTCAATATCAGCATTCCTGTGACTGGGTTGTTAAGGATTTGAAGTGGTAAAATGAATGGTAAACTCAGTAAATTTAGGATTTTTCTCCATATTTTGGGTAATCTGAACTTCATCTATGATGCATGAAGACAGGTCAGAATGAAAAAAGTTTTAAAAGATATTTTATTATCACACTTTTATTGATATGGAACTTTAGTACAAAACACAAATTTATGGTTTTTCTTCTCTTACAAACCTCACCTTATTTAACTTCAAAATGCTTCCCTTTTCTGAGTGATTAGGGCAAATTTTGTCTAAAGGATGATCTCAAGCATTTTTGTTCATAATGAAGACTTAGAATTCCTGAGCTCAGAGACTATTTCTGGTATTCATTTAAAAAATCTCAATGATTAGAAATATCATTCTCTCCTATGGAAGTGTGATGAAGCAGAGTTTTTACAAGCATGGCGAGAACTGACCAGGTGGACCTATTTCAAGGTCCAGTGAAGCTTCATGTGCCCTTCTGCTCTGTCCGTTCAGAGCTGGCATCAAGTCCATGAAGCTGTTGTCACACGAGACCCACGAAAAGGTATCACAGCACAGACTTTGGACTGGCTGACTAGTTTCTTCCCACCAGTAACCCAGAAAGTATGTTTATAGATAAGATTCTGAGCGAGGTATTATGCTATGCAACGAACAGCAGGAACGTTCTTTTAAAACTTTATTTTTGTTTATAGTATGGTATGTGTACATTTTTTTTTTGGTTGCTAGTACTGAAGCTTGAACTCAGAACTTGGGTGCTATATCCCTTAGTTTTCATTTTGGGTAGGCATTCTAACACTTGAACCACAGCTCTACTTCCAATTTTTAGGAGGTTAATTGGAGGTAAGAATCTCATAGACTTTCTGTCTTATTTCATTTTTGGGCTGTGATCGTCAGATCTCATCCTTGTGAGTAGCTAGGATGACAGGAGTAAGCCATTGACATGCAGCTATTTGGACAATTTTATTGGCTACAAGGTTGAAAGCTTGTCATGGGAGACTCATTTCTCTATCTTCTGTTCTTTCCACACATAACTTTCTAATATGTTCTTTCTTTCTTTTTTAATCTGTAAGAATGAAGTAAGGAATGGCATTTTAGTATCTCTTGTATTCTTATCTCTGACAGTTCTGGAACATAATAAAGCATAATGCTTATCTACCTGTTTTTAAAATGAACAACTAAATTATTCTGGATCTCACATGTTACTAATTGATAATAGTATTTGTGTATGATTTTTTTTTCTGACCATTGACATGAGGGCTATCAGAAGGACATATGGAAAAAAGGGGCAATGTGACTGACTTTGTGCTGTTGGGGCTCACTCAGAGCCCTCAAGGTCAGAAAATACTATTTGTTGTGTTCTTGCTCATCTACATTGTGACAATGGCAGGCAACTTACTCATTGTCGTGACCGTGCTGGTGAGCCCAAGTTTGGATGCCCCCATGTACTTCTTTCTTGGCTATTTATCTTTCATGGATGCTGTTTATTCAACTACAGTTACTCCAAATATGATTATAGACTTACTGTATGAGAAGAAAACGATATCCTTCCAAGCTTGCATGAGCCAACTTTTTATCGGACATTTGTTTGGTGGTGCTGAGATTTTGCTGCTGGTCGTCATGGCTTATGACCGCTACGTGGCCATTTGCAAACCCTTGCATTATCTGATGATCATGAACCGAAGAGTGTGTGTTCTGCTGCTGCTATTGGCCTGGATTGGGGGCTTTTTGCATGCAATCCTGCAACTTCTCTTTGTTTACAATCTTCCCTTCTGTGGCCCCAATGTGATCGACCACTTCATCTGTGACATGTACCCTCTATTAAAACTGGCCTGCACAGACACCTATGTGATTGGACTCACGGTGGTTGCCAATGATGGAGCCATCTGTGTGGTCATCTTCATGCTCTTGCTGATCTCCTATGGAATCATTCTGCACTCGCTGAAGAATCTCAGCCAGGAAGGGAGGCGCAAGGCCTTGTCCACCTGTGGCTCCCACATCACAGTGGTGGTCCTCTTCTTTGTCCCTTGCATTTTTATGTATGTGAGACCTCCTTCCACCTTGCCCATTGACAAGTCCTTGACTGTCTTTTACACTATCATCACCCCAATGTTAAATCCTCTCATCTATACTCTGAGGAATGCTGAGATTAAAAGTGCCATGAAGAAGCTTTGGACTAAAAAATGAAAAGGAGTAGTGCGAGAAATGTGGCATTTGTCTGCAATGATGAGCTGCTCCTTTCAGGAATGCCATGTGTGATTATTTCACTGGAAGTAAATTTCCGCAGGTATAAAACCTGCATAATGAGAAGCATTGGTTTAATATTTTGGGGGTATCAATTTTTGTCTTAGATATTCAGAACTCGTAGAAAGCATTGATCTATGAGGGGGGCTATAAAATGATTCTGTAGGGACTCAAGATTTATGTGCCACAATTACATTTGTTTACTTAATTTGTTTATGTTTCTTTGTAAAATTAGAGTTATACTTTTTCACCATTAATAGTGTTTATTACAGATTTTCACAGAATCAATTATGTAAATTCTTGGTTATTTTCTCACCTAACATATATACCCAGTATGAATGGAGATATGTAAAAACACAATTTTACTTTCCAAATTCAGGAATAATGTATTTCTCTGGGAGGAAAGCTTTGTGATACATTTTTCTCAAAAATAAAGACAACCCATTAATTTTCCTATGTACTTTAAAATACCTGATAATACCTTTGCAAAGTTTTCAATATATCTGTCTCATGTCTTTGCCCATCTAAAAGGGACCAGATGCTTTTTATGTAAATTAATATAATCCATAATTGAAGAGCTACACCATAGAAATGTGGAACTGAAGACCAGATGCAAGCTATCATTTTCAAGGAAAAATCCTACCAAAATATATAATCTTTATTTTTGCTCCAATTTAGTTTTTACTATTACATATGCTTATGGTTTATTTTTATTTTCATTGCACCTATGATTGAGTACAGTTAGATAATTATGTATAATGTGCAATTATCAAACCAGATTAATTAGCATTCCCATTCCCTGAAATGTTAAGAAAAGTTTGATTAGCACATAAGAACTGTAGATATTTATAGTGTAGAGTATGCCATTTTTATATACATTATATGTTATGCAAATCAGGCTAATGAATTTATTATTTTTGTTTGAACATTTCAAGATTCTTCACTAATTAAATGCCAATTTTTGAGTATAATGTTACCATAATATATTGCGCTTTTCTTTCTTTCTTTTTTTTTTTTTACCACAACTTGCTTTATAAAATGTTTGTGAAAATTTGTGACATGATTATATTTAAGTAGCATTTTCCCCCACAAATGGCACAAATGCATCATCAAATAAATTTAGTTTTTCCTGATTTCACTGCTTAGTGTGGATTTAGGTGGAGTTCAGACCAAGGGAAAATCAGCTTTTTGCAGCAAATCATAGAATAGTAGACACTTTGTATCAGTTTTATCCCCATCAATATTTTGTGGAGATAGCTTGTATAATTTCACATTCATTACAGACATTATGGTATTTACTGATATCAAGCATTACTTGTATCAGAGTTTATATGTAACTTATTCCTCCATTATTAGACATGCAAATACAAATAGTAATGATAATAATAGAAATAAGCAAAGCATTGATGGTTCATGCCTCTAATTCTGCTACTCATGTAGTTGAGATCTGATGATCAAGGTTCAACACCAGCCTGGAAAGAAAAGTCCATGAGACTTTTATCTTCAATGAAGCAGGCAAAATTGAGAAGTGCAGGTGTGATTCAAGTGGTAGAGTGCCAGCCTTGAGCAAAGAAATGAAGCTGGAGTGGGAGGCCTTAATTTCAAGCCCAGTGTCAGCACATAGACACAAAATTCATTATAATATGGATAGGTTGGATTTGACTTCCCAGCCCTTCAAATATTCATTTGATGATTCATTTTCATAGAATGAACCATATTCCTGCTCTCCCAATAAAACAAAATAGCCCGAACCCTTCAAGAGTAAGTAGCAATTCCAGCATAGAGTGTGAGGAAGTGCTTGGAGTTCCATTCATGATACTTTGTGTGATGTAGTAAGTGCTTCAGATTTCCAATAAAACTTAAGCTCCATGCTTTATATAATCCTAAATTAATGACTATCTTATAGTACTTTTGACATTCCTTTAGCTGTTAAGCTGCTCACTCATTTCCTAGCCACGTTTTGACAGTTCCAATTCATTCTTATCCAAATTATCTTAGTAGATAAATTGAACCTTAAGTTCATCACAGATAGTAAAATCATAATTCTCAGCTGGAACACTAATTAGTCTTCATTTAAATATTGTCCTGGGAAAAGCTCACTTTCTTGTGTGTTTTCTGTGGATAGCCAGGGCCAGAGTAAATCTATGTGATGTGCTTTTTAGTCATTTTATGAATACTGCCATGGGGGAAGTTTATATACAACTTGGTTCAATGATTGTAGTTTAAGGGAGTAAATCATATAATTTCAATAGCCTGATAGTGTTTCCATTTATGGCTTCCTTAAGTCTAAAGGAAAACTAAAATTTCATTTCAGGACAAATCTATGTCAAAGCACTGGGATCTGTGTCTAACTGTGCTTTGTAAGCTCTACATTGATGCTAGCAACTGTTTTCAAAGCTCTTTGAAGTAGTTTCTCATGGTATCTATCACAATCTAATAATATTGATCACATTAATGATTGTGGCTTAGTGAGACATAATTTATTTTCGTATCATTAAATGTTATTCATTGCATATATTCAATTCATCTCTAGGAGCCAGTCAAAAGCCACCTGATCCTCTATGGGCATATGAAAGGAGAAAAACTTAATAGTGTCAAAAAGTCTCTGTTCATTACAGTATTACCTGCAATGGCTAAAGCAGTTGACACTGCAATGAATAGAAGAATGGGAAAGAAAGCATGTATTAAATAAATATGTATGCACACACATATATACATAAACAATAAAATACTCTTCAGATAAAAAAGTATATTCTCAGGACATAGCTAACAAGATAAAGAGAAACCCCACAGAATAGGAGAAGATTTTTACCAGCTATGGATCAGATAAGGGCCACATATCTAAACTATTCTTAGAGCTCAAAAAATTAACCCCTCCCACCAAATCTCTCAAAAACTCAACATCTCAACTGATAAATGGACTAAAGACTTAAGGAGACTTTTCAGAGGAAGAAATAAGAATGACCAATAGATACATGAAGAAATGTTCAATGCTACTACATGGTTGGTTGTAATGTAAACTTGTTAATCATTCTGGAAAGAAGTACAAAGTTTCCTTAAAAGTCTAAACATAGAGCTTCCCTATGATCCAGCAATCATGGGTATTTATCCAAATACTACAAACCAGGCCACACTAAAGTGACCAGAACCACCATATTCATTGCAGCATTGTTTACCTTAGCAAAGATATTGAATCAACCCAGCTGCCCATTAGTGGTCAAATGGATCAAGAAAATGTGGTTTGTATACACAATGGAATTCTTTGCTTTCCATCAGAAAATAATGATATTTTTAACATTCATAAGAAAATGGTAAGTCTTGGAAAAAATTGTATTAAGTGAAGTAAACCAGAGTCACAGAAACATTGGTTGCATGGTTTCCCTCATTGGTGAGAGCTACAATGTGCCTACAGACCTACAAGGAACCATACTTAGTGATTAATATAATATATTAATCGTTATGAATATATATGTATATGAATGTATATATACACATATATGTACACACACATTAGGACTTGATCAATTATATAAGTCTCTTGATATTCACACCCTGAGGCCAAAGGAGAATATGCATAAGAGCAGATCACAAAGGTTCAATGGCTATGTGTATATGATCATATAAAATAATATTTTATGAAATGTACTCTAAGAAAAGAGATTTTTTTGTTTCAAATTTTTTTATTGTGAAAATACTGTACAGAGGGGTTACAATTACATGTGCAAGATAATCAGTACATTTTGTATCAAGCATTGTAGCCTCCTCCTTTGTTTCCTCTTCCCATCCCTTTCCATCCTCCCCCCTAATCCCCCCTACTCAATCCTCCTCCCCCCCACCCAACTTGTAAAGTTTGTTTTTGACATAATGACTTGTACATCTCATTGTTGCAATGGGTCCACCTGTATCCCTATTTAAATCATTTGTTTTTTCCCTTCCTCTCCAGAAATTGTACTGACATCAAATACAGTGAAAGTAGGGGTTATACCATGTGGGAGGGACATACAAAGCAACAAAGAAATAATCTTATAAATGTGTTAGAAACAATCGCATGAAAGAAAAAAACATTTGAATACATATCTTAGGGTTCATTTCCCTAACATCAACTGATCTGACCTTTTCTGCTTGACTCAGACATATACTAATTATTGCAAATAAGGGAAACCATGAGACCTACGTTTCTTTGGGCCTGGCTTACTTCACTTAATATAATTAGAAAAGAGATTTTTTAATTGCTGCTGTTGCTGTTTTTGTTTTCTTTTCCTTTTTTCTTGTTTGCTAGTTTGTATGTATTTTGGAGGGTAATAGGGAGCACAAAGGTGGAACAAAGGGTGAACAAATGAAATGGTGTTACTCTGTAGACACTATGTGGAAGTGAACTGTACATTTTGTGGGCGGGGATGAGAGGGAAAATTTGGGAGAGATTGAGGGAAGGGAAGACATAGTTTAAAAAGAAATGTATTCATTACTCATTACCTGATTCATATATAATGGCAACCCCTCTGATATCAACTCTACAATAACAATAAAAATGCATATTCTCACATTTTTCAGAACATGGATGGAGCTAGAGAACATTAGGATAAGTAATTCATGTCAGATACAGAAAGGAAAACTTTTATATAATCTTACATATATGTGGGAATCCAGAAAAGAAGTAAAAAGAGATATTAGGATGTGAAGGAGTATGATACAGAGAAAGTTGGGAAATGTATAGCAAATGATATCACTTAGCAGGCAGAGGATGAGCAGTAAGAGGATTACAATGGTGAATTGTTCTCAGGAATTTGGTTACATGAGTAAATTACAGCTGTTCTTTCCTGACAATAAGAGAAAAAATAGGTAGTTTATATGAGGTGATATGCTAATTTGATTTATTTGTTATTTTTGTTATTCATACATGTACCATGTAACACTATTATTTAGACCATAATTATGCCTGAAAATTTTATTTTAAAAATACTTTGAGTTCTTTTGACTTTTTTTCTTATAGTAAAATTAATGGATTTTGCTAATAGCAAACAATTCACAGCTGAATTTACCCATCAATCATTTTTCCAAGTTGTATCTGCTTGAGCAAATGGCTCTGGTCTGATCTAGACTTACTCATATCTGCTTTTGCTTTGGGAGATGGCTTTGACTCTGATCATGTGACCCATCATCCTCAGTGTTTTCTTCTCTAACAACTGCAGGCCAATCAGTCAAGACACCTTGGATTTATTATCCAGATTCAGAACCCAGGATGGTGTTTACATTTTCCAGTGCAAACACAGTTGTATTTGTAGTGTATGCATGTGTGTGTGTGTGTGTGTGTGTGTGTGTGTGTGTGCATGTGTATGTGTGTGTGTGTGTGTGTGTATAAAAGATGAATCTTGTTTCCGAGACTGCTAACACCACCATTCTGTAACCACCACCATTCTGTAACCAATGGCTCCTTGTTCCTACTTTGAAGTCTTTATTTATTGATAATTGTGTTGAACTTTTCCTTTGTTATTTGCTGCTTTATCATGATGATGTAATCCTGTCTTATCCGGTGGTGTGGCTATGTAAGGAGGAACATTTTGAGCTAGTTTAACTATTATTTGTCATATATATACATATATGTGTGTGTGTATATATGCATAAATTTATGTATATCTATCTATCATCTGTCTCATAATTGGAAACCATGTGTGGGTAACTTCTGTAGATTAGAAATGATCTATTCTCATTAGAGATTTTTTTTCATATAATTTGGAAGTTAGTTACTTTATCTTGGCAAGACCTAAGTCTTTATCCTCTAGGGATTGTTCAAGGATGAACCAACTAGGAATTACTTCCTGTTAATGAGGAATTGCTTCATTTGAATTTGTTCCACTTATTCCAATAAATCAATCTACAATCACCTTATAATTGCTCTCATGTAAAAGAATGATGATTTATAAAAAGTCATAGGCTGTATCTGAACATAAAAGTGGAAGAAATCTCCCTGGAAGAAGAGTGAAGCGATTTGTTTTGCAAACTCATTTGCTGTGCTGGAATAGATCTTCAGCTGCTATCTAGTCTTGCATGGTGTTTTTATATAATGTATATTTCTATGTAGTATATATAGAAGGCTGCAGAAACTCTCCATTTTGTAGAATGAGAGTGGAGAGATTCGGGAATGCCTTTGATTTTAAAAGAATGGACTTAGGAAAACACTATTTTAGTGGAAGCAGCGATGGGAATTGGACATGTTGAATGTTCATAACAGCTGGCTCCTACAGAAATCTAGACCCTCCCTACCAACTTCTTCTTCTACTACTAAATCCCTGTGCATGGAATCCTCTTGCTGACTTCTAGCCAAAATGTATTTCTTCACAGGTAAATATTCTGCCAGAAAGTATGTAATAAGCTAGAAATATATATATATATTTTATATATTATATACATAAATATAAATATATATATTTTGTAGTTGCAGGGTTCTAGCAACTATTTACATGCCATCGAAACTAAAGAAACATGGTAGATACTATGTGTCCCCAAGATAAAAAGCTTATGAAACATGTACATGGAATTCTATTGAGACATCTCAGACTGCCAAGCAGGTGATTGAACATTAGCTATGAGGATCTAGAGCCCTACTTATCCAGATATGTAGCACTGTGCATTATGACTCTCTCCTTTTCTCTCTCTTGCTCTCTGTCTCTCCATCTCTCTCTCTGTCTCTCTCTCTATCTGTGAGTCTTAAGTTGATGGCTGATAAACAACACTATTAAATTTGGCTACTCCAGTTATGGCATGACTGTACCTTTAATATTAGCTGACTTTTTATAAGAAGTAAGAATACACTTGAAAGTTTATACTTGATTATAAAATATAAAAATATTGTCAGAGTTGAAAAGTCATGGCTGAACTGTTTTAGGCAGATTGAATACACAGGATATTGAAATTATCCAATTGTATTTTTCATCTTTATACACAAATAGACACATACATAATTATAATTATGTATAGAAAGTAACTCAAATGAGTGGCCTTCTATTGGGATTGTGCTATTCTTTTTTTAATTTTTTATTGTGAAAATACTGTACAGAGGAGTTACAATTACATGGGCAAGATAATGAGTACATTTCTTATCAAGCATTGTAGCCTCCTCCTTTGTTTCCCCTTCCTATCCTCCCCCTGCCTCCCCACCCAATTAACCCTATAAACAAACTGCTGTTCTATTCTGATCAGTAAGACTTAGGAAGTCTAATGTATGAACCATGAACCAATATCCACTATTTCTCCTTTCAACGTAATTTTTTTTCCATTCTTATTACTAACTTTCCCCAAAAGATCTGACAAAGATGATTTCCTTACAAACTAGATGCTACTTCAATAGTTGTTAATAGTCAGGAATCCAAAGGCTGGGAAGGTGGCTCAGTGGTAGAGCGCTTGCCTTGCATGCATGAGGTCCTGGGTTCGATTCCTCAGTACCACATAAGCAGAAAAAGCTGGAAGTGGTGCTGTGGCTCAAGTGGTAGAGAGCTAGCCTAGACCTGAAGAGCTGAGGGACAACACCCAGGCCCAAAGTTCAAGACCCATGACTGAAAAAAGTCAGGAATCCAGTTTAATTTAAAAAGCACAGAGAATCAGGATAGTGACTATAAAATGTGTTATGAAATGAGTACAAACAAGTTTGCAGTGGACAGAATGACAGTTCCTGAAAAATATCACAGGTCCAAGAAGTAACTGCTCTAGGCATCAATGTGCTAAACACCCATGCACTTATATGCTGACACAGTTCAAACACTACCACCTTGAGATTTTTTATTTGGGGTAATAGCGGAATTTGATTTCAGGGTTCATGCTTGCTAGGCTGCTACAACATTAGTGAATCAAACTTGAAACTCAACTTTTTATTGGTTATTTTTGGAATAGATCTTGCTTTCTGCTCTGGCATGTGCCTGAGCCACAAGCTACCTATATTTTAGGCTTTCTTTCATCACCTAACTCTCAGGCATGAATTGCTGTATTGGGTTCCCCTCCATAGAGGTGGCATCTCTCAGACCTTTCAAGCCTTGGCAGGCCAGTTTCAGGCTCCTTTCTAGCTTGGGATGACAGGTGTTTCCCACCTAGCCAGCTATGGCCTGCAGTGGAGGCCCCTGAACTTTTCTGCCAGTGATGGACTTGAAACCTCAATTTTCCTCTCTGATCCTTCCAAGTAGCTGAGATTACAAGCCAATAGAATGAGGTTTAATAAAGATTGAACGTCTCTTAAGACATGATACACCAAATACCATGTCCAGTGGATGTAATTTTATACAGTGGGATAAAACATCATACAGTTATATTCTGATACTTCACAGGTCATATTGAAAACCATTACTCATGAATACTACAAACTTAGAGAGGCGGCAATGTTTATTTATATATTTGACATTTGACATATTTGATATCTATTCAGATATTTGAAGAAAGATGGATTTTTTATTTTTATTTTTTATTGTGAAAATACCATACAGAGGAGTTACAATTACATGGGCAAGATAGCGAGTTCATTTTTTATCAACCATTGTTGTCTCCTCTTTGTTTCTCTTTCCCATCCCTTCCCATAGCACCTCCCTTCCCTCCACTCAATCCTCCCCTCTCCCCCACCAAAGTTGTAAATTCGGTTTTTGACATAACAACTTGTACATCTCATTGTTGCAATGGGTCCACCTGTATCCCTAGTTAAACAATTTGTTTTTGCCCTTCCCCTCCACAAATTATACCAACATCAAATACAGTGAAAGCAGGAGTTATACCGTTGGGGAGGGACATACAAAGCAGCATAGAAATCATCTTATAAATATGTTAGAAACAATTGCACAAAAGAAAAAAATATTTAATTGTAGTAAATCCTTTTACACCACAACCAGGCTGTGTGTGAGATACAACCTATTATAAATGAGATATTGAATGTATGAATTATCATGCACCTTTTAGCTTTTCTTCAACATGAAGTAGCACTCAACATTAGAGGTAGAAACATTAAAGACTTGGAAGCCAAATGAAATAATTTGAGAGGAGTTGTGAAGACAAAGGGATAGTTGTAACATGAGCTAGACAAACAATAACTTTTGTAATGTGGTGTCACCAATGGAGTAGATGTAGGTGAAGACACGCAGCATGGCGAATTGAACTAATGGTCCTCTTCACAATGTCCTGACAGGTAATGATCTCCTGATGTCTCATCTCTGAAGCCAGCCTGACAGAAGAGTCCATAATGACAGAGAGGAACAATGTCACAGAATTTGTTCTTATGGGTCTCACTCAGAATCCTGGTGGGCAAAAAGCCTTATTTGTCCTGTTTTCACTCATCTACATGGTGACAATGGTGGGCAACCTGCTCATCGTGGTGACTGTTATTGCCAGTCCCTCCTTAGGGTCCCCTCTGTACTTCTTTCTGACTTACCTCTCTCTCATGGATGCTGGCTATTCCACAGCTGTTTCACCCAAATTGATCATTGACCTTCTCTCTGATATAAAGACTATTTCCTTACCAGCTTGCATGGGCCAGCTCTTCACAGAGCATTTCTTTGCTGGAGCTGAGGTGTTCCTTCTGGTGATAATGGCCTATGACCGTTATGTGGCCATCTGTAAGCCACTGCACTATTTGACCATCATGAATCGGCGGGTTTGTATTATCCTGTTGGTGGTGGCCTGGGTTGGAGGATTTGGACACTCTGTGGTTCAGCTGGCCTTTGTGTACAGTCTTCCATTTTGTGGCCCCAATGTCATTGACCACTTCATCTGTGACATGTACCCACTGTTGGAACTCGCGTGCACCGACACCTATGTCATAGGCCTCACTGTGGTTGCTAATGGCGGAGCCATCTGTATGGTGGTATTCATTCTTCTCCTCATCTCCTATGGCGTCATCCTGAACAATCTTAAGACTCACAGTCAGGAGGGGAGGCGCAAAGCCCTGTCCACCTGCAGCTCCCACATCACGGTGGTGGTTCTGCTTTTTGTTCCCTGTATTTTCATGTATGTTCGACCTGTGTGCAACTTTCCCATCGACAAGTCCATTAGTGTCATTTTCATGGTCATCACACCCATGTTGAACCCTTTAATATACACCTTGAGAAACTTAGAGATGAAAAACGCGATGAAAAAGCTCTGGTGCAGAAATTCAGCTAAAGACAGAGTAAGGATGCATCCTCCACATTGAATACAATTGCTATTAAATTGGAAGCAGAAACTCTAGTTTGTTTTTATAAGAGCTGTGGTAGTTATCTCAGTATAGTGTGTAGAAAAGGTTTTTATTTTACTTTTACAAAGAAATTAAAGAATAATTTTCTTTGAGATTAAGATGGATCTTATAGAAAACTAGGGGACTGTATTAAATGTATAGGTAGTTATATTATAAAACATAAAATGCAGAATATACAACTAAGCTCAAACTGATGCTTTGTTTGCTTAATCATTTATGAACATGAAAGTTTAGATGAATTTTTCCATTAAAGTAGAATATAAACTGTGTTTCAAAACTCTCATGAGAAAATACTTTGGATAATATTTAGGTAAATGTTTGGAATGAAAGAATGGAAAAAAGAAATGATTAAGGCAAGTGGAAAATATATTTCTTTAATTTTGTGGTAATCATATACTAGAAATGTCATATGAGTAAGCAAATTATTCTAAATGAAAAATTAAAGATATGTGATTTCAGATTTTTAATTACCATTATTTATTATTCTGTCTGCATGACTACATTTTGTAGTTGCATTGTACATATTGTGTTGTGATCACTTTCCTAGTTATATCAATTCATATATATTTGCAGATTCTGAAATCCCATGGCATATATTCATTAGAGAAATTAGTAGAGTTAGGCTTTATTCCATATAGTTGGAAATTGTGGTGGGCTTATTGCAAATTCAAGGCTAGCTGGAGTTCTATAGGGTGACTCCCTCTCTCTCTCTCTCTCTCACATACACACACACACACACACACACACACACACACACACACACACAACTCAAATGAAATCAAACCAAATAAATTGAGATATTAGCCCTGAAGAATTTTTTTAGTTTGTAGAGCAACTGATGATGAAAATTATTTCTAGTTTTGTTTCTGTGTAGCCCTTATGCTGCAGAAAACTAATCTGAGTTGTAAGCATATTTTTTTATTCTTATCTCCATTTACACGTACATCTTTGTCATTATTTGGTAAGCAGTTGAGTTTCTTACTACTTTTCATGATGATGAATGAAAGAAATATGTAAGTTTTTTTACATATGTTCTGTTTGACTGCATTTCTTTAGTTATGTATCTAAATAATTTGTTTTGAAATATGTTTTAAAATTTCATATAATGCAGCCATCTTGGACTATCATTACATTATAGGTGACTGAATAGATTTACAATGGTACAAAATGGAATATCTTTCAAGTATATCCTGATTTATAATCTTTTGGATAAATACCTAAGAGTGGTAATCACTGGATCATAGTATGGTTCTAAGTTTAGTTTTTCTCTTGAGAAATCTCCAAATTGCCTTGATAGACTTTGAACTTGTTTACTGTCCAAGCAACAATAAATAATAGAGTTCATCATCCCCGACATACTTGTCAGTGTGTGTTGTATGACTTGTTTCATTAAGTAATAAGTTCCAAGCACATTTCTGTATCTATTTATTTGATTTCATATAATTTGTCGGTATTTTTTCAGAAATATCCCAATGAATTTCATAATTACTGAGGCTTCTATTGCAATAGAGTCATTCTATGGTGATTTTATATGTGATGAGGAGGTGCAAAAAAAGAAACCCTAATACACTAATTGTTGGTGGGAATGTAAACTTGATCAACTACTCTGGAAAGCAACATGGAGCTCCCTCAAAAAGCTAAACATAGAAATACACTAAGACCTATTTTTATTCTACTTTTGGCCTTTATCCTAAAGATTATGAACAGGCTACAGTAAAGCCACCAGTACTAGCACGTTCATTGCAACATTATTTACCATGGCCAACGTATGGAATCAGCCCAGAGGTTCCTCAATAAATGCATGAATTAAGAAAATGTGGTGTACATACACAATGACTTTTACTTATCCTTTAGAAAGAATGATATTGCATCATTTACATATAAATGGAAAGACCTGAAAAAAAGTATGTGTTAAGCAAAGTAAGTCAAGAGAAAGATATATGTCTTTCTTTCACATGTGAAAACTCTCATTTGTAAGTATATAAATATATACTTCAGGGTGATTTCTAAGTGTACACACGTGAACCAACTAGACCGTGGCAGATTCAGGGGAGAACTCAAATGATGTAATTCTTTTCTTGCTTGAACTCTGGGGTCTGGGCACTGTCCCTGATCTTTTCAGCTCAAGTCAAACGCTCTACCACTTGAGCCACAGCTCCACTTCTGGTTTTCTGGTGGTTAATTGGAGATAAGCGTCTCACGGACTTTCCTGCCTGGGCTGGCTTTGAACTGGATTTGAACTGTGATCCCCAGATCTCAGTAACCAGATCTGAGTAACTAGGATTACAGGCATGAGCCATTGATGCCTGGCTAAATGATGTAATAAACATCAAGAAATGTATTCGAAAGGGGGATGATGGGATGAAGGAGCAGGGTGTATGTGGGGAATTGTTAAAAGATGAGAGGAAAGGGGTGAAAATGCAGTTATAGAATTCAATGTACATTCTACAAAATTAAGAAAATGCAGGGAAGGAGTGGGTTTAGGAGGGTTGGGAGAGAATGATGAAATTGGTAATACTGATCAAGAATCATCGTGGTTATCTACTACTTTGTTGAGTACAACTACTAGAAGATGAAAATAAAACTAATATTCCACTTTTTGTTAGTCTATGTTGTCATTTCAATCATCCCAGCATTCATACTATCACTCAGCTTGCCAATGCCTGATCTTATGAGATGTTTGGTATTTTTATGATTTTAACAGTATATGACTTTTCCTTGTGATTTTAATTTGACATTCTTGCTACTAATGTTTTATCTGACATTAGTTTTTGGCCTTTTCTAATTTCTGACTTTTCAGTATTTTCCCATTATCCTATTTTATTTTGTTATTATTTATTGTTGCTACTGTGATATTGATTTCAGGAATTCACACTTGTAGGAAATCACTCAACCACTTATAAGGTTACCCTTATAATTCTTTGTAATGTAGGTCATGTTTCAGAAATTCAATATTTTCCTCAAACTTTCTAATTATACTATTAGTAACTTGAATTACAGACATGAACCATCATGACTATATTATTTATTGAGATGAAATTTTGCTAACTCAATAAAAGTCTGTACATACAGGCATACACACATAGAAACTACATTTAAAAATCCATTCATCCATTGTAGAGCATCTGGGATATTTCTATGACTTGGCTATTGTGGACAGTTCTGCATTGAGCATGGGTGTGTAGATGCCTTTGTTGTATCCTATTTACAAACTTTCAGATAGATGCCCCCATGTGTGGGATCTCTGGACTTTAGGATAGTTCAATTTTAGCTTGTGAGGAATCGCCATATTGATTTCCATAGATTTATACTAATTTACAGTCACCTCAACAGTGTTTTACCATCCCTTTGGCATTTGCATAAATTATGTAAGTTATATATATTCTTCAAGATGGCCATTCTATCTGGGGTTTAGATGGAATTTCAATGTTTGTTTTGTTTGCTGTATGCTGATGCTGGGGCTAGAACTCAGGTCCTGTATGTTAGCCTTTAGCTTTTTGGCTCAAGACTGACAGACTACTACTTGAGCTACAGCTCAATTTTTGGCTTTTTGCTGGTTAATTGGGGATAAGAGCATCTGAGACTTCCCTGAACACTCTCTTTTAATTGTAATCCTTAGATCTCAACCTCTCCAGTAGCTAGAATTACAGGACTGAACCACTGGCACTATCATTTTGATTTTCATTTCTTGTATGTCCAGAGACATTGAGCACCTCTTTATGAATGTATTGGCCATTTGAACTTCATCTTCCAAGACATATCTATTTAGCCCATTTGCCCATTTATTGATTGGGTTATTGGCTCTTTGAGTATTTCATTTTTTAATCAGCTAGTATATTCTGGGAATGGTCTTTCTCTCAAGTCCAGTTTAATAATATTTCTATATAAATTTTTATAACATAAAACTCATGGTTTAAATCAAGAAACTTAAATTTAGAAACTTCCATGTCACATGATGTTTTTTCTAGTTTGTCCATTCTTTACTCTTGACAAGATCCAAATCTTTATCCTTCAGGGATTATACAAGGGAAGAAATCTATTCATGAGAGATTACTTTATTTGAATGTGTTCCAAATATTCTAATAATTTCTAACCACCTTCTAGTCTCTTCCTTATAAATTATGGATGATTTTAAAGGCTTTAGGCTATACCTGCTCATATAAATTTAAGAACTCCTTTCCTGGTATAATCAATAAGTTTCTTGGAAACTAATTCATCCCACATCTGGAGTACCTCTCAGCTGATAAATAGACCACCAGGTGTCTACTTTTACTTTTATCGATGCTTAAAGAAATTTGCAGAAGTCCTTGATTCCTGGGATGAACTGAGAAGATGAATAATATTGTTTGAAAAATTCCTGTGCTAAATTTTATTAAGCATTAGCTTAATCATTAGGTATTAGAAAACTAAACTAAATACTAGACATCATTTATCAATTTGTATACAGATTTTACTCAATTAAGTAAATGGTGAAGCCAACCCACAGGATGGTTGTCCTGGTCTAGCTTAATCTTGATGATGGAGAAAACACAAGGCAGAAAGTAAAATATAACCCAAAGAAAATTTGTCATGGACTATGCTGCAGACTTATGTTCTTCCATAGGTGTGTGCCTCTATCACTCTGCAATTTTAGTGATGACAGACTTTCTGAATCAAATGGAAGTTGTAGCAGGTGTAAGACATGCAGAAGAATCCTAACAGATGGCTTCTAAGGAAATCACAGACTTTCTCTGCACCTGTCCTCATCTGCCACCAGATCCTGTGCATGGAGCCTTTCTGCTGGATTCTAGTCAAAATATATTCATTCACAGGTAAGCTTTACTCTTACGTTCATTTAACCCAATAATATTTCCTAATGAGTACATTCCATATTATGGCCCAAAAGGTAGGCATGAGTGATTGGTGTTATATCCTGAAAGTGTTTGTGGTCTTATTAAATTGACAAACCTCCTGATGCATTATTCTGATTCATATTCACAATAAAACATCCAAGAGTAGTAATAGCAGACATTTTTTAGCTAGATTTTTCAGGTATCTAGTAGCACTATCTGAATGTAATATAAACAAAAGTCATAGAAAGACTAGATAGGATGTGTGGCTTACAGTATAAACACAAAACAGATACACACAGATTTGTATTGAGTTGCTTAAGGTTGTGTACATAACAAGTGTTTTAACCTGGCAGTTTAACACAAGCCATACAGTCCTAGAATCCTCATTTTTTTAGCACTGTGTTCCAATCCCCCCCCATACCTCCCTCCAGGGTCTCTTTGCTCTATCTCAGTACACAATGACTGTGAAACTTAACATTGTTATTTGGGTCACAATAGTCTCTATACCCTAGGTACTCCTGATTGGTGTGTTACAAGTAATGAAAATAAACCTGGAAATATCTACTCAGTAAAATTTGGGCTGCCTGCAAATTCCTGTAGCTGGTTGGATTGAAAAGCACTCTTCAATTGTCTTCAGTCACAATTTTTTCTAATGTTCAAACTGACACATATTTGTATTTACCTTTAGAAACAAACTCAACCCTCTTTTTTCTCACAATGAATTTGAACTTTCTCTTGATAATGATAATTTTTGGAATCCACTCACTAAAGTTTCCTATATGAGAACTAAGACTTAGAATCTTATGTATACAACCATGCATACTGTTTACTACCTTGTTTCTGTTTCTGTTGTATGCATTCACACTCTCCAGATTACACCAAGAATTCTGAGAGAAAGCATACTATGTTTGAATGAATTAGTTAGGCAAAGCCCTGAGTTTGTTCAGATTTATTAAAAGAATTTGCTGAAAGCTCTGGGTAATGAAGGTAAATGTATTACAAATTTGATATAAGCCTGGATGTCATGGATAGAATAATTCTTCCTGGAACACCTGACAGTCATAATCATAGCAAGCAATTTCTGTAGGCAGAAATATCCTCAATACTTGTCTAGTTATTTGATATGATCTAACTCCTAAATGCCTTGAAATTTAATGAGCACTTGAGAAAGACTGAGAATTCTTTGACTCAGTAAAGAAGGACTCCCTAATGCAAAGTGGAATGAAATTGGATTCAGTGAGACATTTCATTCAGTGAGGTATTTTAATTATATATTGATCAAATATTTTATATATTATATAGTAATATATAATTTTGCACATAATTATATATAATAAATATATGATATATAAAATATAATGCATCACAATATATAAAAATAAAAGTAAATGTAATATATAATAATGTTAAGTATTATATATCATATATGTGTTATATATTAAGATCAAAGTTAGGCCTCACAATTAGTAACAACTCAAACAGACACATGGAGTTCTTGTATATGAGAGTTAATCTATCCTCAAGACAAGGTAGATGTGTCGACAGTAAAAAAAAATTCTCTAGACACCATTGCTGAATTTTTTGCCATGACCTGTTAGTTTAAACGAGGGGTCATTAATATATGATTTTTGTGTGTTTGGCTATTCTTTTGTATAAACTATAAGACACAGAGATACTTTTTAAGCTCTTTGCCTCAAGCACAATCATCTGAAGGGTTACACAATTGCCAAGGGAAAGAATATTGGGCTTTCTGGAAGAACTCGATGATTTAATGTTTAATGTGATCTTACCACTGTAGGAGAAAAAATGGGAATATGCTTTAGGAGAAAAATGGATTCATGATCTTGTCCACAATTTTACGGCAGGTTCTGAGCTTTCATCCTACATGCCTTATAGAAGAATAAATGGGCCAGAGGAACAATGTCACAGAATTTGTCCTGCTGGGCCTCACTCAGGATCCCGATGTGCAAAAAGCCTTATTCATCCTGTTTTCACTCATTTACATTGTGACAATGGTGGGCAACCTGCTCATCGTGGTGACTGTTATTGCCAGTCCTTCCTTGGGCTCCCCCATGTACTTCTTCCTTGCTTACCTGTCACTCATGGATGCTGTGTATTCCACTGCTACTTCACCCAAGATGATTGTAGACTTACTATGCTCTAAAAAAACCATTTCCTTCCCAGCTTGCATGGGCCAACTGTTTATAGAGCACTTATTTGGGGGTGCTGAGGTGTTCCTTCTGGTGATGATGGCCTATGATCGCTATGTGGCCATCTGTAAGCCACTGCACTATTTGACCATCATGAATCGACGGGTCTGCATTCTCCTGGTGGTAATAGCCTGGGTTGGAGGGTTTGCTCACTCTGTGGTTCAATTTGTCTTCGTGTACAATCTTCCTTTCTGTGGTCCCAACATCATTGACCACTTCATCTGTGACATGTACCCACTGTTGGAACTTGCCTGCACTGACACCTATCTAATAGGCCTCACTGTGGTTGCTAATGGTGGAGCCATCTGTATGGTCATTTTTGTCCTTCTACTCATCTCCTATGGATTCATCTTAAACTCCCTAAAATCTCACAGTCAGGAGGGGAGGCGCAGAGCCCTGTCCACCTGCGGCTCCCATATCACAGTGGTTGTCCTCTTTTTTGTTCCTTGTATTTTCATCTATGTTCGACCAGTTTCCAACTTTCCCATTGATAAATCCATAAGTGTAGTTTTTACGATCATTACTCCCATGCTAAATCCTTTAATATACACCTTGAGAAATTCAGAGATGAAAAATGCTATGAAAAAACTCTGGGGTAGAAAACTAGTTACAAATGCCATCAGAATGCATCTCCCTTCCTGAACATTTACATTCTACAGTAAAATACCACAAATTGGCTATTATTTCTAACAAAAGATTACATAAATTCCATGCATTGTCTAAGAATACTCTATTTTTACGAAGCTATCAAAGGTGAAATTATCCTTTGAGAATGGGGTCAATCTTATAAAAAAATTACTGAAGAAAAATAAAAGATACAAGTACTTATCATTGTAAAAATAAAGAACAAAATTAAGATCCCCTTAAAGTTTATCTTTTTACTATATATTGAAATGAGATTTTAAAAAATAACTAGTATATGTCTGAGACAAGCAGAAACAGTCAGATAAGTTGATGTTAGGCGAAATGAACCCCAAGATAAGGATTCAAATGTTTTTTCTTTCTTGGTATTGTTTGTAACGTATTTATAAGATGATTTCTTTGTTGCTTTGTATGTCCCTCCCCCATGGTATAACCCCTGTTTTCACTGTATTTGATGTTGGTATAATTTGTGGAAGGGAAGGGAAAAAACAAATAGTTTAAATAGGGATAAAGGTGGACCCATTGCAACATTGAGATGTACAAGATGTTATGTCGAAAAACTAACTTTACAACTTTGGTGCGGGGGACGGGGGAGGGGGCAGGGGAAATGGGAAGGGATTGGAAAGGGAAACAAAGGAGGAGGCAACAATGCTTGATAAGAAATGTACTCATTACCTTGCCCATGTAATCGAAACCCCCCTATATGGTATTTTCACAAAAAAATAAAAAATAAAAACAAAAAATACATTTGAAACCTCCATATCAGCAAAATTAATGAGAAGTCAACTCATGTAATACTTAAGTAAATTTTGGGAAGCCCAAGGGTGATTGAAGAATTTTAATGTTCATTTTCTATCAGCACGGCAACTTTCTGTAGCTATTCCATGTCTAGCTTAATCTCTGTATTTTCAGTTTTGGAAATTCTGATGGTACAGGACACTGTATGTGCTGAAAAATGTTACTATTGCCAGGTGTGCTGGCACATGCCTGTAATTCCAGTACCTGTGAAAATAGATATCTAGTATGTTTGGGGCCATCTGAAGAGCCTATGCCTCCAAAAGTGAAATAAAATGATGTGAGTACTATTGTATTCTGGAATGCAAATGTATTTATCAGGTGTTAGTTTTGGTCCTTTACACATCATGGTGCAAAATTATTTCCAACAAATACTAACTGTCCAACAGACTGACACTGACTATTCCTATGTCTATAGTTACCTCATCAGTAAAAAGTAAGTTTGTTGGTAGCAAAAACACTTTCCTGTTCAATATTGTTGACATGACATATTTTATATAAAGACTTACTGTAAGTATAAATATTAATTGTATGTTTGACCATTATTATTTTGTATAAACACTCATGTAAGGTGTAGATACAGCCATTGATCTCTTAGCCTTGAACAAAATTTTCAGAGGAGATATAAAATTGTTCAGGAAAGGTCTAGACATCTATTTGATAGATAATCAACAGATGATGGTGATTATATTATTGTTACTTATTTATTTTGATACCAGCCCTGGGGCTTAAACTAGGAGTCTAGGTGCTATCCCTGAGCTTGTTTGTTCAAGGCTCACATTTTTACCACTTGAGCCACAGCTCCATTTCTGGCTTTTCTGGTGGTTAACTGGAGATAGAAGTCTCATGGACTTTCCTCTCTGGCCTGGGCTTCAAACTGGGATCTTCAGATCTCAGCCTCCTGAGTAGCTTGGACTATAGGTAGGATCTTAACAAATACTTATTAAATGTTTACTGTGTATTCAACACTGGGGGATAATGATGAAAATATACTCCAAAATGTTCCTCTTCACATAATATTCATGCTAGGTTCTGTTCTCCTGAGCGCTAATCTCTGAAAAGTTAAAGAAAAGTAAACAAGGCAAAACAATAATGTCACAGAATACATTCTCCTGATCTTCCCACAGGATCTAGATAGACAGAAACCATTCTTATTCATGGTTTTACTCATCTCAATTACACTGTGACAATGAAGGATAACCCACACATTGTTGTTACTGTTACTGCTAGCAACTTCCTTAGGCTTCCTCATGTACTTTTTCTTCACCTACGGATCACTCTTGGATGTATTTTGTGTCACTGTGGTTTCCCCCAAGATGTTCACAGCTTTACTTTGAAAAAGATGATTTCCTTTCCCAGCTTGTAGCTTACAGCTCTTCATACCACTCTTATTTGGGGGTGCTGAGGTCTTTCTTCTGATGGTACTGACCTGTATTGATTGCTATGTGGTCATCTGTAAGCCACCATACTGTTTGACCATCATGAATGAATGTGTTTGAAGCCTCCTGTTGATAGTGGCCCAGGTGGAGGTTTTGAAAATTGGGTGGCTTAACTTGTGTCATTGTGTATTTTTTTGTGTTGTGATTTTTGTTTTATTTTGATTTTGAGCTGGGACTGAGGCTTGAAACCAGGGCCTTGGCTTGTTCACTCAAAGCTAGTGCTCTACCACTTAAGCCACAGCTTCACTTCCTGTACTATGCCTTAATTCACTCTAGCTACAATGTTGTATTATAGATTCTTTTTTAAAATTTTATTTTATTGTAAACATGCTTACAGAGGGGTTATAGTTACATGAGTAAAATTTGTGAATAGATTTTCTTCTGTGTTAATTGGCTTATCAATTTGATTATGATTATTTTTGCTCATGATTTTTACAATAGAGTGATTGCACATCATAAGGAAATTAATTTTGTATATGTCTTTAATGTACTTTGATCAGATTTACTCATTCTTACTCTTAATTTTATCCTTCTCCCTCCTTCCTTTCCCCTTCTTTCCAATAAGTCCCCCTTATAGTGTATATGTGTGTGTGTGTGTGTGTGTGTGTGTGATTCTTCTTGTTTAACTGAAATTTTCTGTCTTTTGATCATTTGTCCATCACCCTCATTATAGCTTTTAGTTCGATTTTTAATATTGATCTGAGATATTTTTAGTTCCACATAAATAAGGACTTAATTTTTCATTGCATTTATATACAAATTATTTATTCATTTATCTATCTGTGGACATTTACATGATTCCACATATTTGTTCTTGTGATTATTTGCAGTGATTGTTGAAGTGCTGATACATCTTAGAAATATTTTTAATTTTTTATTATCTTTAAGTGGCTGTATAAAGGAGGTGCTATATAACCAATCAGTTTATGAATACAATGCATCAGGATCAGTGTTATTTCCTTTCTACTTTTTGTACGTAGTAAAATTTGTGAGTGGAGAAATGAAAGGTAATGTTGAGATTTTGTCATCCTTTATTTCCAAAGTGTGATCATTTTGTCCCTTTATTTCCATTAAAAATTTTCTCCCGTTGTGTCTTCCAAGACTACTTTTCATTTCTTGTCATTCTCATCAGTTCAAGAAGTGATCTGTTTTTGAGAATAGTATATGCATTATTCTTTTCTTGTGTGCATGCTCTATCAGAGATCAGACATCTTTTGTGATTTTAAAGTTTGGGCAATTTACTCCTTCTTCTGTGGTGTTTCTGGTGGTGAGCCATCCCTCTGGAGAGCTCTGCTTATCCCTCCTTGTCTCCAGTCTCCACAGGCTTCCTTCCTTCTCCTCTCTGAACAATGTTTATTTTCCTTTTTAGGAAGCAATCTGTGGTTCTGAAGAACTATTCTTGGTGTCTTTAACTGAGTGTTTACCAATGCATGATATCACATGTTTGGTTTTATGATAATCTTGGAGGATGTGTAGAGAGATTTAGAGAAAAGAACTTCATTGTATAAAGAATGTATAAAAATCAAGGGTCAGTATTCTATTTTTTATTGGTTAGTCATGTTACTTTGTCTTATTTATGTATTTTATTTTACTTTATACTTTCATGATTTTTAATCTTACTTTTATGTTATTTCATCTTTCTAATCATAGGTCTTAATTACTTATTTTTATTTTTTATTTATTTTTTGGTCTTGGTGCTTGAACTCTGGGCCTGGGTGCTGTCCCTCAGCTCTTTAGCTCAAGGCAAGTGCTCTACCACTTGAACCACAGCACCACTTCCTTACTTAGCTTTTTTAAAAAAATTTATTTTCCAGAGAATTTATTTTGCAACTGAACTGAACATGCATGCAGATATAATCTCATTGGAGTTGGCAAAAAACATGTACTGGTGATGATTTTGTGACATTCTACTTAAGTGTGCTTCACCTGCACGAAGCCTTATGCTTTTCTTTGACTCTTGAATTTGAAAATCTTGGACATATGCTAATTTACTGAAAACAAATTGTACTTATAGACACAACTTTTGGATTATGTTTTCAATAACTGAATTGCTTTTAGATTGCTATTTTTTACACTTAACTGTCCTGAAATGATTGTCCAGGGAAAGCTTCTGCCCATATAGAACTCATTGCATGGTTGATGTCAGGTCTTTTGGGGATAGGAGTCCTTAGTGAATTTAATGGCAGCAAGTAGCTTTGGGGACACTTTGAACAACTCAGGAAAGCTGTTATGAGTTAAATATTTTGTTTTACTTATTAAATTCCCAGCCATGCCTTCTGCTACCCATGAGACTCTCCCAAGTTATTAATGCTACAGCGAAAATATAAAATAAAAGCCACTAGCATACAAGACTCTCAATACAGTGTTGTCAATTTTGTAGGAATACACAACAAAGTCCATTCTTGATTGTGTGATGCACAATTGACCCAAACTGTTACCAGGTGCATTCAAGTAATTCGGGCAATAAACAATGAATTTTACCATTTACTCTTGAGATGTGTTGTCAAGTAGAATGATCAGATACTCGATGATTCATCAAGCAACTTTGGTGTTGATTGTCGAAGATAGCTCTGGATAAATCCAGAACTTAAGCCATACAGTGTTCTGCAAGTGAAAGAACATGGAAAAGCTCTGTGGACACTAAAGGAGACATATTTCTATGTGAGAAAGCATTTATAGCTTCAGTGCTCTGCTTTCCCCCTTCCTCTCTAGAACACGCCTGGACCTAGGGTGGCAGTTTTGACTGATCTTCATCAAGCTAAGATA